GGTAAACAATATCTATATGTTTGACTTGAGTGAAGTATCTTTGACTAGCACTAAATGTCTTGTCACCATGAGTGAAGACTCGTGGCTATGGCATAGGCGTTTAACGCATGTCAACTTTGATTTGCTAAATAAAGTAGTCTCAAAGGATCTAGTTTTTGGCCTACCCAAAATCAAAATTTCAAAAGATCACTTATGTGATGCGTGCCAAATGAGGAAGCAAACAAGGATCTCTTTTAAATATAAAAATGTTGTTTCTATAACGAGACCTCTTGAGTTCCTCCATATGGACCTTTTTGAATCATCTAGGATCAAAAGCTTGAGTGGTAATTATTATGGTTTTGTGATTGTAGACGACTACTCTAGATTTTGTTGGACTATTTTCTTAGCTAGCAAGAGTGATACTTTTTCAGCATTTGAAAAGTTTGTCAAGCTATCTCAAAACAAATTAAATACTAACATTGTCACAACCCGAAGCGATCACGAGGGTGAATTTGAAAACCACCTCTTTGAGGAATTTTGTGATAAGCATGACATTGATTATAATTTTTTAGCTCCACGTACTCCTCAACAAAATGGAGTAGTGGAACGTAAAAATCATATTTTAGAAGAACTCGAAAGAACTATGATCAATGAGAGTGGCCTTCCTAAAAACTTTTGGGCTGATGCTATTAGTACAACATGTTATGTTTTGAATAGGGTGTTTATCCGTCCTATTCTCAACAAAACTCCATATGAGCTTTTAAAAGGAAGGAAGCCTAATGTATCACATCTTCATGTTTTTGGTTGTAAATTCTTTGTGTTAAATAATGGTAAAGAGAATCTTGCCAATTCGATTCAAAAGCCGATAAAGGTATCTTTCTTGGATGCTCTCAAAATAGTAAAACGTATAGAGTATACAATAAAAGGTTACTTATTGTAGAAGAAACCGTGCATGTTACTTTTGACGAATCTTATCCGAAAAATGTCAGGAAAGGTATTTCTTTTCATGGTTCAGTTGTATCTTCAGAAGACATACTCAAAGACACTGAAAAAGGGACTGGTCAACCTGAATCAGTGAAAGTTGAGGAGGAGCAAGATCAAAACTCTGAAAAGAATAAAGAGGATCACCCAATTAGCAACGATGACCTTCCTCCAGCTTGGAAGTCCTCTAAGGATCATCCAATCGACAACATTCTCAGAGACATAACAAAAGGAATAACTACACAATCCAAGCTAAGTAACTTTTGTTATCACTTTGCTTTCATCTCTCAAATTGAGCATAAAAAATCTAAAGAGGCCTTACTCGATGAACATTGGTTTTTGTCTATGCAAGAGGAATTTAATCAATTCAAAAGAAATGAGGTTTGAGACCTTGTCCCTCCTCCGCGAGGCCATTGAGTAATTGGTACCAAATGGGTATTTAGAAACAAACTTGACAAAAACAGAGTAATAACTAGGAACAAGGCATGTTTAGTGGCACAAAGGTAAAACCAAGAGGATGGCATAAACTATGAGGAAACTTATGCTCCCGTTGCCTGACTTGAGGCTATAGCCTTTTGCTAGCCTATGCTTGTTCTAAAAATTTCAAATGGATATTAAGAGTGTTTTCCTAAACGGATACATTAATGAAGAGGTCTATGTATCTTAACCTTCCGGTTTTGAAAGTCATGAGTATCCTAATTACGTTTATAAGCTTAAATATGCTTTGTACGGTCTCAAACGAGCCCCTAAGGCTTGGTATGAGCGTTTTAGAAATTTTTTACTAGACCAAGGATACTCAAGAGGGAAGGTTGATACTACCCTCATTATTAAACATCAAGGAAAACACTCAATTTTAGTATAAGTTTATATATATGACATTATCTTTGGATTTACTAACATGCATTTGGTCAAGTAATTTTCTAATTTGATGCAGGGTGAGTTTGAGATGAGCATGATGTAGGAGCTAAACTACTTCCTTAGACTCCAAATAAAACAACTTGAAGAAGGAACATTCGTGAGCCAAACAAATTATTGATATGAGCTACTGAAGCACTTTGATATGGAAAACGCAAAAGCTATTGATACTTCAATGCCTACATGTGTAAACTTAGATTGAGATGAGAATGGTAAGGTCGTCGACATAAAGAAGTATAGAGGTATGATAGGTTCTCTTCTCTATCTCACCACATCTTGATGGGATATCATGTTTAGTGTATGTATGTGTGCTAGATATCAATCATGCCCCAAGGAATCGCACTTAAAAGCGGTTAAGCGCATACTTAGATACCTATGTTGTACTCAAAAGTATGAACTTTGGTTTTCCAAGGGAAGTGATTGTACTTTGGTTGGCTATTCCGACTTTGGCGGTTGTAAATAAGATAGGAAGAACACTAGTGGCACTTGTCATTTCTTTTCAAACTCCTTGGTGAGTTGGCATAGCAAAAAACAAGTTTTTGTTGCTTTTTCAACTGCCGAGGCGGAATACGTCGCAATTACTCGAATTCAATCTTAGACTTGATCATATTCCTATTTTGTGTGATAGCACAAGTGCCATTAACTTAACGAAAGATTCAATACTACATTCACACACGAAACATTTTGAAATTCTCCACCATTTCTTTAGGGACCATGTAGAGAAAGGTGATGTCGTATTTGAGCACGTTGATAGCAAAAATCAACTTGCTGGCATTTTTACAAAACCACTTGCGACAGAACCCTTATTTAACATTTATAGGGAACTTGGTGTTCTCGATATCTAAAATCGTGTTTAAATGTAATTGTTGTATGCTCTCTCTCTATGATTTTCTATACACTGATTAACCATATTGAAACACTCAAGATATGTGAGGGCATTCATCGTTCATCACCATTGGAGGTACTATCGTTCCTATCTATTTGATTTATCTTGACTACATATGTGTTTGTACTATGTTTAGTGTGCTGTCTTGGTGTTTAGTTGATAGTTTAAATTCTCTTTTTAGTCCATTTTTATGTTTTGAAAAAGTGTGGGCTTGCTAATTATGTTTGTGTGCTACATTCATATCATTTTTTTCTTCTATTTTTCATGTTTCTACTACATGTGTAGACCTGAACAGGGTATATGTCGACTTATGGTCTTCCCAAATCAAACATAGATGCTTTTGCCAATCATGTGTCGACTTGAGGGATCCTCATGCGTCGACCCATACTGAACGCTTTAAAACTTTTGGAAATTTAACACGCATGCATCGACGCATTGCTCGAGAGTCTGAATTTTTTTTGAAAACTGAACTGTAACTATTTGCATTGGGAATTACAAGTTATCAATTTAGTCTTTTTATTCATTTCATCTTTTCATTTTCATTCATTGCATCTCTCTCTACACCACCAACTCTTTCAACTTTTCAACAAACCTTAAAAACTCATTTCAAGAACTCTCTCGAATTAGGAATTCCAAGTCCAAATTAGTGAGAAATTTGGTCTTTCTCTACAATTTTCTACTGCGGGTACTGTTCATCATCCCCAACAAAGGAGTTTCAATGGAATCTTAAGGGTAACTGGTAAAAGGTCAACTAAAGCTTCTACTTCTCGATCATCTACTTCATAACCTCCGTCACAAACTATGTCTGAAATTCCAATAAATGCTATGTCTTTTCTCTTTGATGAACTTGTTAAGGTTTATGAAAAGAATTTTAAGAAACAATCAATTATTAAGCAGTTTGTATATTATCCAAAAGTTACTGAAATGATGCACATTCTAGAAATTATTGACATTCTAAATCACTAAAAGTTCAATAATTTCTTAGAATGTAGTACCAATTACAACGAGGACATGGTTAGGCTGTTTTACAATGGTTTGAAAGGAAAACTCACTGATTATGACTTTGCTTACAAGTTCGGAAATAAGACCTTAAAGGTTGATAGAACCGATTGGAGAGACATGTTCGATATGTGTCCACGTCTGTCTCCTGATCTTAATATAACCGATACTAAATTGACTCCCGATTATGAAATTAAGTTTGCTCTGAATTCTATGCTAAAAAACCTTTATCGAGAGGAATTTGTTGCAAGTGATCTCTTTCCAAAATCTGTCACTACTGGTCTGTTAAAGCGACGAGATAGAATCTTATAATAGATTATTTCTCATATTCTGCGACCAAAGAAGGGAGGATATTCTAGGGTTGATCAAGCCGAGGTTCACTTGGTTTATTTGCTCAAGAATAAAAATAAGGTAAATTGACCATATTATATTGCTAGTCGCATCTTTGCCGTGAAGGAATCTGGTAGAGGATCAGCCTTATGCTATGGTTCATTTATCCAAAGTGTATTGGACTGTGCTAAAATCTTTGTTCAAGACATTCCTTACATCTCCGTTTCCAGTGACCAAGAATTTAGTCAAAAAACTCTAACTCTGATGAGGTACATTTGAGATCCACAAGCGAAGAGGTATGTGGTCAAGGTTAATGGCTCAAGTGCAAGGATTCAAGATTTGGATGATGATAAGGAAGAGGAACAAGAGGAAGACGAGGAAACTCATCATATGGATATCGAGCCTCCTTTTGACGGTCATGACGATAATGGTTGGTTAGGTGGTTCACCTGTGTAGGATCCGTATGCTAACAAAGGATGGGGAGAGTGGCAACAAAATGGTTGGAATAACCAAGATACCTCTTATATGCCTCCGTCTCCATCTCAATATCAAATTGATAATTTTGAAGTCCTTGAGAAGTTCCGGAATATGCGGCTTCAACAATAGAAATTTGCAGCTCTCCAAGAACAAAGATTTAAAGCTACACAGAATCAGATTCAAGCGCAAAATGACAATTTTGATCTGTTTACGTCAACAGTTTTGAACAGGTTTGATAATATGGCTGAAACAGCGGCAACTTTTAAACTAATAATTGTATTCAGATGCAATAAGTGATGCAACTTTTAAACTATTCTATAAACGTATTACTCAACCAGGCTAAAACAAAACCTAATATATAAATCATGTCTTAGAAAAATAAAATTAATGTTGAATTGAAGTTACATTATAAATCAAAGACAAGAATTGAAATCTATGTATGGCTATGGCGGAATTCAACTTGTGCCTTTTGCGATGCTCGTTCCATCCGTAACAAGTCTCGCAAAAGGCCTGACAATATCAGCGCATCTGATTGTGTACGAAAAGGAAGATAAATAGTAAGAGTTTTTAACGATGAGAAATTTGCAAGAATGAACCGTGCCAAACTCATTACATGTTTATTTCTGCTTCTAACTGTGATGCTAACCTCCTCAAGTTCACTAAGGCAACAACAACTGCACTCTAACTTTTCTGAAGGCTCCGGCGCTTGTATCTTACAACCCCACGTATAATAAGTCTGCATTATAAAAAAAATTAGAGTCAACACATGACAATAAAAAGGCAAGCTATCTTAACTAAGAAGCACAGGGTGTTATGTTACCGCTATAACAAATTCCACGAGGTTAGAAGCACTTTTGAGTACACTAACAATATACAAAAATTCTTCTCTTTCATCCAAATTCACATCATCTAAACAGAGATACTTTAAGTTTATCATCTGTGACAAAGGAAAGATATCTGCATGTGCATACAACATCTATATGCAACAAAAAAAAACAAAGCTATAAGATATATTTGTAAACATCTTACCTAAAAATAAAACAACTTTAGAGGTAAATATTGGAATGGAACATTCTATCAAATTAACTGACCTCGGAAGGTAATTCCACCTCAAGCCTCTGAATTATTGGCAAACTTTTATTCAAACGAAATATGCAATTCCCTCTAATTGAGACTGTGAGATCAGTTAGAGTAGAAGAAGAAAGATCGATACATTCATAGCCAGAACAATACACAATGCCGAGCTGTTTAAGTAACGGGCAGGCGGGTAGAAGAGTCTCAAGTGCACCCGACTCAAATGTCATAAATTGTAAGTGAAGATGAAGCAGACTCTTAAAGCCACAAAAATTAGGTGGAATTGACAAGTTAAAAGAGTGTAATTTAAAGTAAGTCAATCCTTGACAAGAGAAGAGATGAGATGGAGTTTGAATGTTATCTTTCTCATAGTTATCCAAATAAATATATTTAACATGTTTCCTTGACAAAAACAGAATCCACTTATTAAGATATGTATATGTTATTTTGTGCTTGGAATCGCAAGGGACTTGAAGAATAAAGTCATTTATTGGCCCATTATGGAGGAAAAGAATTTCCGTGATAATTCTACAAAATTCCGAGGCAGGGTCATCAAGATTATTAAACAAATTGTAAAATTCTTCATGAAACTCAATTCGTGGAACTGAAATCCACATATACCTCCATTTTCTAGACAAAATACTGGTCCTAACTAGGTCTCGGACGTTCAAGTGTCCTAGGATGCAATCAATCACAGTACCAGGTAACTCACTAATTCGATCAATGTGATCACCATAATTATCCTTCTTGTACGCTTGCCTCATAACTGAAATAAATAAATAATAATAATTAATATTCAATCTGATACTAAGTAAATAAATATTAAAAAGAAAACTACCTACAGCATTTCAAAAGTGGTTTTGATATCATATTCTGGTAAAAAACTTTAAAGCATTGTTGGATATATAAATCTCTCATTTACCGGTTACATCAGGAAACACTTCTCATTTTATCTCAAAAAATAGATATCTAGGTTTTTGCTTTCATGTCTAATTAAAACCAATATGTTGATTATGGTCGATAAAATAGGGTTTTAAAAACAGTCGCAGTAGCGTTAAAGATTTCACCATACAAATGTTATGACCCTGATTGCAATAGTCAGAATCAATTAACACAATTTATTCTTTAAGTTAATGTAAATAACTGAATGCCCTAATCCCTACCTGTTGATACAAAAACGCTTAATTACTGAATAAAAAAGTAAATGAAAGAATCGCTAAGGCTTACTTATGAGACGAGAGGGGAAAAACTTCCACTGCAACTCTGCGATTGGAGTTTAGATATTGAAAGAGAACTGTCGAGTACGCAAACAAAAGAAAAGCACTCCAATAGTATATATAATAGAATTTTAGGGCTTACTTAACATTACACGTACGTTTTTAAAAAAAATAAAAAGCCTAAAAACATTATTAATATGGAAAATTCTTGGTTACCTTGTAAAATTGGTGGTTAATTTACTCCAAAATGACATGGATGAATAAAATCTTATCACATAAAATAAATTTTTTAAATTGGACATTTAATAGATTTTTTAACTATTATAACTTTTTATTAATGTAACCTTCAATTAATTAAATTTTAAGTAGTATATTTTGATAAATTTACATTTTAGGTCTTTTTTTCTATTTGAAATATTACTATTCATGAACATTATTCTCTTTGCAGTTTATGCGTATAAGTTAGTGTTGTAGCAAATTTTGTTGAAGTCGAAGAGTTGTGTTGAAGTCGAAGAAGCTCTATCGAAGTTAAAGAGTTTGTGTAACTGTCGAAATATGTTAGTTTGTTGTTTAAGTTAACATGTTGAATTGAGTCAGTCTGTTGGGTCAATTGTTTAATTTTGCTATTGCTTTAGTTAGCTTAGTAGTATGTAAATAGATTGTTTCTCTCAGGTTGTTGAGAGAGAGTTTTAGTTGTAGATATTTATTTGTAATCTTTGAATTCTAATAGAGAAAGTGAATAATAAAGCAACTATAACCAATACGGATTCTTCTTCTTTCTTCGTCTCTCTCATAAAACCTAATAGGATTTTTTGTATTTGTTCAAAAAACTCAATCTTTTTCTCATATTTTCATTTGTTCTTGACGACACTGATTCACAACAAACTGGTGCGGTGAGCGTAAAGGAGAAAATGTCGTCAAATAAAGTATGAGATTGAGAAATTTATCGGTGTGAATGATTTCGATTTGTGGCGCTTGAAGATGCAAGCCCTAATAGTTCAACAGGATTTGTTAGAAACGCTAAAAGGATCAGAGAAGATGGATGTTGTCATAACAGAGAAGGAGAAGACGACGATGATTGAGAATGCTCACATTGCCATTATATTGAGCCTTGGTGATAAGATTCTCTAGAAGGTTTTGAAGGAGAAAGTTGCAGTTAGTGTGTGGACAAACTCGAAGATTAGTACATGACAAAACAGTTGGTTAACTGTCTCTACTTGAAGCAAACTTTGTATTCATTCAAGATGAGTGAAGACAAAGTTTTGCCTAAGCAACTGGATATGTTTAACAAGATGATTCTTGATCTTGAAAATATTGAGGTCAAGATTGATGATTAAGATCAAGTCTTATTGTTGTTGTGTACTTTACCAATATCTCATGCTCACTTCAAAGAAACCCTCTTGTATGGAAGAGATTCTTTGACCTTTGAAGAAGTTCAATTTGCCTTGTATTCTAAGGATTTGAACAAACAAAAAGAGCACAAGCTATCTTTCATAACATCATTGATATGGCTTCTTATCAATAAAGTTTCAACATATATCATTGATATTGCTTATTACTCGACATTCGGTAATATTTTTGTACACTAGTGTGATACTGTGATATTTTTATAATGTATAAACTATATATTATATATTGTGTGTTGTTATATGAATTGTGTTCATAACATTTGTCAAAATTTATTTAAATGAGTTTCTGCTCTCATTGATGATACGATTTCACCAATTTCCTCCGGTTCTAGCATGTTTGTTTTCCAAATTATGTCATGTTTGGGAGTGAGTTTATTATTATTATTAACAAGTAATAATTATGTTTTTCAATTTAATTGATTACATGATTTCACACATTTTCCCATGTTTTAGTATGTTTATTTTCCAAAGTATGTTCTTTTTTAGTATTATTATTGATAATAATTTTTTCAAGATAATGTTATTTCTGTCATGAGTTCATTTTGCTAGCACCTTAGTTGATAATGTGTATACGGTCTCTGCAGCAGATGCATATCTTAGTTATTGCGTCTCACTCATTTGAAGACATGGAAAATATTTTACCAAGTCCTCAAAATCTAAATGACATCATTGTTCGAAGACCCTTTTCTGCATTTGCATCATATGGATCAATACAAACTACTTCCAATGCTCATAGAAGTGTAGTTTTTGACATAACAACTATTGCTTTTGCATGTTTAACAACATACATTCCTTTGCAGTAAATGATTTGTGATGTGTCATCCTCTTGTTAATTTTTCATTCTTGCTTTATAGTATATGATGGTATTATATAAAATTCAGGTTCTTTTGCATTGTCATTTATGATTTGATTTCTCATTTGTAATTATTGAGGTTAGTTTCTTTTAGTTTTCTTTTGTTTTTCTTTATGTTAAAGTGTTCTTTATCTTTTCTTTCTAATGAGAGGCCCATGATTGAACTATTTAAAGAGCCTTTTTGCAATTCCAGCATCACTGTGCTTATTAAATCGTGCATGTTTAAATCAACAGTTTGTAGTTTTGAAAGAATCACGGTACTACCGTAATTTTGTCAAACCCATCTTGATTCTAAAGATGCACTAACATTGAAACGAAAGAGTTGCTACCAACACAGTCAAATGTACATGCTATGAACTGAGTTGAGGTGGAGTGTCGGTGCTACATGGTTCAGACAAAAGCAAGTGCTCATATTTTTTCGTTCTGCTAGCACCTTAGTTGATAATGTGCACACGGTGTCTAAGTAGATGCACATCTTAGTTATAGCATGACAAATCACTAGGGGTGGGCCAAAAAACCGGTTATTGTTAACTAAATTTGTATCTAAATTGTTCCATTTTTAAAAATTCAAACTAAATGATAAAATATAAATTTGGTTATCCATATAAATTTGGTTTTGAAATATAAATCTCGAAGTTCATTAAAGCTTTATGAAAAAATAATTATAAATATTATAGATTTCTCCCCCAATAGATACAGGTTTTGAAATATATGTATTATAAATATTAGTTATCATTTTAAGTCTATATAATTTGGTTATGGACTTAGATTTTGTCATTTTAAGTCCAATATTAGTTATCATTTTAAGTACATATAAATTATCTGAATTTAAAAATTGATATAATTTTAAAAAATTTAAATTTAACTAAATAATTTAAATTAAAATCAAAATTCATTTAGAGCCGGTTTTAAACCAATTTAGAACAAGTGGTTTGGTTTATAAACCATAACCATAAAAATAGTTTAGTTTATAAACTATAACCATAAAAATAGATTGATTTATATTAAATGGTTATCCATGCACACCCTTACAAATCGTCCCAGAACATGGTTATGCTATGAAACTTATGTGTTACTTTATCATCACTCAAAGAGTCAAGATAGAGAAGACACAAAGTGATTGTTAGAGTTCCAATCATAGTTATGAGAGGAAAAGGAGAACATTTACCATGATGTTTAGTTCTAAATCAAAATATTTTTGGTCACTACACATGTTGGAATTTCAATGAGGGATAAATTTGTTGTTTAAATAAGATAAAAAGATTGACCAATATCATCAAACATTGTGATTGAGAAACACACAAGAAAATTAAACACAAGTATTACATTGCATAGAATTATTGGGATGTTCAATCTCATTTTTTCTCCACTGCCCTGTATTTAAGTTCTATCAATTATATCTCATGTTTTTGTTACAGTGCTTATTTTAAAGGTAAACGAATATAAGTACTGTCGAGTTGAAAGAGATGGAAACAATATTATTGACGCTCTTTATTTGACACGGTTTTACTTTCTTTTGTGAACTTAGGTAAGAAAAAGTAGTGTTTTTGTTTTTTTTCATGTTATAAATTGTACTAAGATGTTTTATTAGATTGAATTAGAATATTTACATCTCATAAGTCCCTATAAGATTGGTTGATTTGTTTGAATAATATAGTGGCCCTATTTTTCATGAGCAGAATAACACTTCTGTTAGGTCTTTATATTTGGATCTTACTGCCTCTGCTCTAAAATTCATCAAAACCTAGTGGCACTGATTGCCTCAGACAGGGGATGAAAATTTTGCACGGCAGATCTACAAAACTGCCAAATAGTTAGTTGCACGGCACTGTTCCAAGCCCCGAATTAGAGATTGATGCAGTAATTTTGACTTTGGAATGTGACGACGGTGTTCAATAATGAAATAATAGAACTCGAATTTACATGCATGATGACATAATTGGATGTTATTATAACAGTATTATATATATAGATGAAACTAGGAACCACTGCATGTTCTCTTGCTTAATGTTGTTGTGGTCCAATGAAAGTTGGCATTAGCTAGCTATAAACATATAAAGTTCATGTAGGTTTAATTGTTGTTTATTTTATTGAATAATTTAGTTTGATTTTCTTTGCACTCACTTTCAATCATTTTGGAATTATAAAAAATATGTTTACCGAAAACGATGAACCCGTAATTTAAATTGAGGATGAAGTTGATGAAAGTTCAGTCTCTAGTTCAAAAAGAACAAAAACTTCTACCGCTTATAAATTTTTTCAAAAATTTTTTGATGATAAAGGAC